AGGGGTCTCTGGGAGTTGTAGGCCAAAAACATCTGGGGACCCCAGGTTGAGAACCATATAAGAAGTAGTCTGAAGTCCTTAGAACAATGATTCTCAGACCTTGGCCCGCCAGAAATTCTTAACCCTTGGCCATGTTGTCTTGGTCTTCTGGAAACCAAGATCCAAAACATTGAGAAGACTAAAGGTTGAGAACCCTCACCTTAAACAGTAACCATTGAACATCTTTTTTGTGTATGTCAGGAGCAACTTGAGAAACTGCTAGTCACTTCTGGTGTAAGTGAATTGGCCATCTGCAAGGAAGTTGCCCAGGGGACGCTTGTCTCACGGCCCCGCATGGGAAACTTGAGCTCGACAGACAGGAGCTTACCCTGCTCCCTGAATTCAAACTTCCAACCTTTTGGTCAACCAGTTCAGCTGGCACAAGGGTTTAACCCATTGCACCACCAGGAACATCACTGGGAGATCACTAGCTACAACTACTTAACCCAGTTAGGAAATTAATTTAGCTTTTAGATAATATGGCAGTTTATAAAACCTATAAGCTATTATTCAAAAGACATTTTCCAGCAATCAGATGCTCTTTTGGTATATACAGTCATTAGAAGCAGCAGCAACATGTATTATCCTAGGAAATTTCTTGGGGTCATTTGTACAAAGAGCACATTTTACAATGTTACAATCTGGCTTTGTGCCATAAAGCTCTCAAAGCTATAAAGCAAGAGAGAACATAAAGCGCTGGAACATAATGCCTTTCATTTGGAAAAATGGTCCTTGGGAAACATTGTGGTATTTTTATTATTGTTATTGAACATGGTCAAGTGATTGCTGGGCATATATGCTATGTAACACACAGCTGTGAGACAAACTATCAAGTATTTTGCTCAAAGAACCCTTCCATAACAGGGATAATGTATTTTCCTAATGAATTTCTGATTAGACTCAATGCTTCAAAATGGGATCAATCCATCTTTTTGTGATTTTTTGTACAAGTAGTTATCCCTTTTAAAAATATAAAGTAAAATACATCTTTTCTTGTTAGAAATATTAGAAGCAACTGCCCCTTTGTACTGAAAGCACATATCCATTAAATGGGATGTGCAGCTCAATTCTATGTTTATTTGGATGTAAATCCCAATGAGTTCAATATTTCCAAGTACATGTGAATTTAAGATAATTCTTTACAGCCAAAGGACCATCTTAAATGATATAGTTCACACAAAGATACTCCCCAAACACATTTATTACAGTAAGTATTACATGTGGTAGATGCAATTTTAAAGACCCAAAGACCATTGGTTTATACTTATGTGGCCACTAACTCAGTCAAAGAATTATAGTTTGCAAATGGATTGGCAAACTGCCAAAGAGCCTTGAAAAATAAACATGACACACGTGTACCAGTGAGTTTTGGTGGATGCCATATGGCAACTATCATGTTTCACACAATCCTAGAATATCATAATAAATGAAACTCCCAGCATGTAAACAATTAAAATTGAAATCGTGGCTTCTTGTAGAGGGGTACAGCGACCTGCAGATGTAGTCATTTCCTCCCCATTAACTTTTCCAGATTTTGTTGTGTTAAATCTGGAATCAGAAAGGATTTAATTGGCATGATTATCACTTGAAGTACACCAAATGCTCAACACTGTGAAGGTGCAAAATTGTTTTATTGTGGTATTTAGGTGTAAAACACTGCAGACCATGTGTTGTGGCCTTTTGGAAGTCACATCTACCCATATGGTGCATATATTGAAATAAGTATGTTTTGAAGCATTCTTGGAAAGCTGTTACATTTAAACTGTCCTATCTTGTGCATATATGTGGAAATAAACTCTATTTCCACATATATGCACAAGATGGGACAGTTGTGCATATATGTGGGAAAGGAGGTTGAGCTCCCTCTATCAGCTTCAGCTCCTCATGTGGAGACATGAGAGAAGCCTCCCACAAGGATGGTAAAACATCAAACAATGTCCTTGCAGACGGCCAATTCTCTCACACTAAAAATGACTTGCAGTTTCTCAAGTCACTCCTGACAGGAAAAAAAAAACTACCAATATGCACAGGATTAAATTGGATGTAGATTTGTGAAATGTTCAGGGCTCAATGAATCCAAGGCTGGAGTTAAAATTGCTGGAAGAAACATCAACAACCTTAGATATGCAGATGATCCCACTTTGATGGCTGAAAGCGAGGAGGAACTGAGGAGTCTTATAACCAAGGTGAAAGAAAAAAGTGTAAAATCTGGGCTGTAATTAAACATAAAAAACTCAAGATTATGGCAACCAGACTGATTGATAACTGGTAAATAGAGGGAGAAAACATAGAGACAGTGACAGACATTGTATTTCTAGGTGCAATTACTGCAGAAGATTATTGAGCTACTGAAAGTTCTAGCAATGGGTTCAGGGGGAGAGCACCTGGGTTATGTTGGAGCTATATTCCACAAAAAGGAAAGTCAGCCTGTTTAGCAAGCCTTGCAAATTTGTTTTCATTTTAACTTGATGTATTTATACACTTTGTTTGTTATGTGGCACTGAAGTAGCCAATTGTAAGCCACTCTGAGTCCCCTTCACGGTGAGACGAGCGGGGTAGAAGTACAGTAAATAAATAAATAAATAAATAAATGCTGATTTGTTATCCATAAATGTTTGATTTTTATACCAAATTTGTAACATCAGTTATACCTATATAACTGGTGTCACATAAATATGTAAGGTCAGTAAGGGGTCTCAAATGGGAAAGGTTTGAGAAGCCGTGCTTTATACCACTATAATCTACACTCCACTTTATTCTTCATAAGGGAAAGGGTAAAAATAATTGTAATTTGGAGCAGAATTCTTCTTTGTCTTTATCAGCTCATAGGATGAAAATTTGTAAACATGCCCCACAAACCTAGTGAAACTTATTTCTGAATAAAATTGATTGTTTTGTCTTTTTAATTAATGAAAACTAATGAAAGCCCAGGATAGAATTAAGTTTGTTTTGCCTTCCTCTAATTACATCCTTTAGACTGCAGAATTAAAGCAGTGTGACACCACTTTAACTGCCCTTCTCTTGCTCCCGCCTCTGTCACAAGGACGGTTGGTGGGGACGAGAGAGAGGGCCTTCTCGGTGCCCCCCCCCCCCCCAGTTCTGGAACTCTCCCTAGATTGATTAGCACCTACCCTGTCCACTTTCCATAAAGAACTACAAACTTGGATGTTCAGATGTGCTTTTGATTAACCCGGTTCATTAGGTGATACAAAAATAAAGTAGTAGTAGCAGCAGCAGCAGCAGCAGTAGCAGCAGTAGTAGTAGTTGTTGTTATGGCTCAATGCTGTGGAATCCTGGGAATTGTAGTTTGGGGTGGCACCAGCCTCTTTGGCAGAGAAAGATGAAAAAATGTAAAATCTATAGCATTGAGCCATGGTGATTGGAATGTCATCAGACTGCATCAATTCTAAGTGAAGTTGCATCCCTAGCCTTTTTTCCCTATGAAATATCATGGGGTTTTCTATTTTGCATTATTTATTTATTTACTTACTTCACGTGTATACCACTTTTCTTACCCTCAAAGGGGGGGACGGGGACTCAAAGTGGTTTCCAATATGTTTATGGCAAAATTTAATGCCTCGCATATGTATGAAACATAACATAAAACAACAATAAAATACAACTATCCATTAGATCATAAAAATGTCACAACATTTAAACATCTAGTACATTTTATTGTTTAGCCCATTGGCCACATCAAAACACTTGACAAAGAACTCCGGGTCAACTGTGGCCACCCCCAGCTCGTTCAAAGCCAAGCCAGTCACTTCAAGGATACCATCCATCCACCTTGCTCTTTGTCTGCCCCTCTTCCTTTTTCCTTCCATTTCCCCCAACATCATTGTCTTCTCCAAGCACAACTCACAGTACTATCCAAAGTTAAAATAAATCAGCTGTTAACAATGGATCAAGATCCGGATCGAGATCCAATATCTGCATCATCTCTACAGTTTACACCAAGCTACTCCAAATTGGCACTTTTTGAGTTGCTTTATATAGAAAAAGGGCAGTTTTTTGTGTGGCCAGGCAATAAAGATGTAGTTTTAATATAAGGATCCCAGTGTGTCTTTTTTATAATGAATGCTCATTGGAGGGAAGACTATTAGAGGCAAAGATGAAGTACTTTGGACACATCATGAGAAGACAGGAAAGCTTAGATAAGACAACGATGCTGGGCAAAAAGGAAGAAGGGTCGACCAAGGGCAAGATGGGTGGATGGCATCCTTGAAGTGACTGGCTTGTCTCTGAAGGAGCTGGGGGTGGTGACGGCCGACAGGGAGCTCTGGCATGGGCTGGTCCATGAGGACACAAAGAGTCGGAAGCGACTGAACAAATGAACAACAACAATATGGTCCAAAGTATTGATTTCTTTCCAAGTAGTACATGTGTGATACTGACGCTCCACAAATACAAAATAGTTCATTGTATGGAACTTGGTTAAATCTGTCATGTTGGACCATTGTATTCAGCTGTTCAAATCTAGTTCTGGTAAATACCCTCCTGAGGTGTTCAGGCATTTCTGTCTTTAGATATTGGACTGTTTGAAAAGTATGTTTAAAGCAAACTGCATTGCACTATTTTTATGTAGGTTTAACTACCATTTATTTGGCATGTGGAACAGTTGAATGATGTAGATTTTAAACCTCCGTGAAACCTAACTGTCCCTGCGGCTCTAACATTATTATTTATACTTTCTGGGACAGAACTCCCCCTCAAGTCAGTGAGATTTCAAGTCTCTAAACAGGTGAAGTCCCCTACTTTCTTTGATCCTAAATGGTTCGTGTAATTAATCCTCAGTCTGAACTTTTGCAAAATGCTTCTGCCACTGCAGGTCTTTGGATGAGGGTTCCTGTATCCCAGATAGCAGGAAATAGTTGAGAAGAAGAGAATCAGTGAGCTTTAAGAAGGGGAAGATGCCTTTTGCTTCTGCCAGCGCCTAGTGGCAATATCGAGCCTCTCTAGGAAGGAAGAGACTTCCCTGCCTTTTGGCTTCAGAGCTGCTGCTGCAGTGTGTGTGTGTTTCTCTCTATGCAGCATTGTGTGATTTAATACTCCTGCAAAAAAAGGGAACAGGGAAGCGTGCAGGGGAAGCAGGAAAGCTCTCTGGTAAGGAATCCTTTTTAAGAATATAGAAGTGGTGATGGGGAGGAAAGCAGGAGGAATGCTCAGCCCCCCTCGGAGTCTGTTCTGCTGCATGCTTTTTATGTAAGACTTGGATGATTATTATTATTTGATGGTCCGACTGGCAGGAGAGAGACACCTCCCCTTTCCTTAGCCTCAGAGTGCTGTTTTGTGCAGTTGATTTACATAAACTTGCATGCAGGAAGCAATTAAGGCTGTGTTTTGTTTTGTTTTGTTTTTTATTGGCATGGGAATAGGCAACTTGTTCTTTTCTACTTTCAAGATTTCAACCACAGTAAATTCCCAAATGATACATTGCCCTAATGGAGCTGGCAAAAGGTACATATCCTGCAGCACTACAAGGCTTAGGCTTCTTTGAAAGCATGTTATTAAGGTGGTGGTGATGGTGATGATATATATGTGTGTGTGTGTGTGTGTGTGTGTGTGTGTGTATGTATGTATATATATATATATATATATATATATATATATATATATATATATATATATAAAATCTGGAAAGGTAAAGGAGAACCCAAAGCAACCCAACTCATCCCTTTACTATAATAGCATTTTTAAAAGGTTCATCTAAGGTTTTTAAATAGAAGAATCTGCTTGTTATATAATGTGGTTTTGGAGAGATGAAGGGAAAAACTAAAGGTATAGAGTAGTAGGAGATGTGGGTGTGTCTGGCTAGCTTTACAGTGAGAGGGAGAAATGGAAAGCATGTTATGCGTGCGGATACTGGAAGGGCTGGGAATGATAGGTAACATGCCTTTAAAAGACAACCTGTGGATTTTATTCTATAATAATTGTATATATTCAACTGAAGGGAAGAGGAAAATTCTCATAAGTGAAATCCATGAAGTGCAATAGGATTTACATTCAGGGAAGTACATATAGATAGAATAGCAAGCATTGCATGCTTGGAGGACTGGAAATGATCAGTAAAATATCTTATTTTATTCTGAAATGGTAAACTGAGAGGGAGAGGAAAATCTTCCACAGTGAGACCCATTGAGTGCAATAGGATTTACACTCATGTAGGTGTGTATAGATGGTATGACATGCATTACATACTGGAAGGGTTGAGAATGATAGGTAAAATGTGGATTGTGTTATGTAAAAGGTAAAATATACTGAGCTGGAAGGAAGAGAAGATTCCACATAAGTGAGATCCATTCAGTGCAGTAGGACTTACAGCCAGGTAGGCGTGTTCAGGTGGCATTGCAAGCATTACATTCTGGAAATGATAGTTAAAATGTCCTGCCAAAAGGTCTTCTTGTAGATTTTATTCTGTACTTGTAAATATACTCAACTGGAAGGAAGAGGGAAACCTTCCTAAGTGAGACCCATTGAGTGAAATAGGATTTATTTCAGGTAAAAATGTGTGGCATTGTAAGCTAAACCCATTTGAAGCCGGTTGTATTCACTGCAAAATAAACATAGCTAGGATTGGCTTTAAAATGTGTGTGTGTTTAGACAGATACACACATATATATACACACACACATTTCAAGGCCAATCCTATCCATGTTTATTCTGCAGTGAATGCAATTGGCTTTGAATGGGTTTAGCTTGTAATGCCAAACATTTTTATCTGCAATATGTCCATTTCCCTCAATGGGTCTCACTTAAGAGGCTTTTCTTCTTCCTTCTAGATCAGTGGTTCTCAACCTGGGGTCCCCAGATGCTTTTGGCCTACAACTCCCAGAAATCTCAGCCAGTTTACCAGCTGTTAGGATTTCTGGGAGTTGAAGGCCAAAAACATCTGGGGACCCCAGGTTGAGAACCACTGCTCTAGATATATATAAATACATAGAGATATATATAACTAGATTCAGGGCTGTGCCCTTCCACACAGCCATATAACCCAGAATATCAAGGCAGATAATCCACAATATCGGCGGCACAGTGGGTTAAAACCGTGCCGGCAGGACTGAAGACCGACAGGTCGCAGGTTCGAATCCGGGGAGAGCGTGGATGAGCTCCCTCTATCAGCTCTAGCTCCCCATTGCGGGGACATGAGAGAAGCCTCCCACAAGGATGGTAAAACATCAAAACATCCAGGCGTCCCCTGGGCAACGTCCTTGCAGACGGCCAATTTTCTCACACCAGAAGCGACTTGCAGTTTCTCAAGTCGCTCCTGACACGACAAAAAAAAAATCTGGTTGGAACTGGGGGCCCATCTACTCAGCTGAAAAAAATCCCCCATTTTCTGCTTTGAGCTGGGATATATGGCGGTGTGGACTCAGATATTCCAGTTCAAAGCAGATATTGTAGGATTTTCTGCCTTGATATCCTGGCTTAAATGACTGTATGGAAGGGCCCAGGGTTATCTGAGTCCACACTGTCATATAACTGAGACCACACTGCCAGTTCAGTTGTGGATTTTATACAGCTGTGTGGAAGGGGCCTCTGCTGAATATTACTTTTGCATAAACCTGCATAGACTGAGACTGTTTGGCAGGAGCAGGTGACGGGGGCTTGTTGGCAGGGATTGAAGATAGCTGGAGTTTGAAGAGGAGCGGCTGATTTATATCTGGGATGGTTTGCATGTACTGAAGCAGATTGATTTTTCCAAGCCACATCCTAAAGCAGCCCTATAGCAACTTATTTGTAGCCTCCCCTTCTTGGGGGAAAGCACTGTACAGTAAAGCAATGTCATGAAGTAAAACTTAGACTGGATCTACACTGCCATAGGGGAGTACATTGTGTAGCAGGCATGGTGAAACTTGGACCCTCCAGGTGTTTTGGACTTCAACTCCCACCATTCCCAACAGCCCCAGGTCTTTCCTCCCCCCCCCCCAGCCACTTAAATTGAAATGTGTCCTGAGGCTGTTAGGAATAGTGGGAGTTGAAGTCTAAAAGATCTGGAGGGCCCAAATTTGACCGTACCCTGCTGTATAGGGCCGTTGTAGAGAGCATATAATGCAAATCGAAGGCCCTTCCACACATCCCGTTGAACCCAGAATATCAAGGGAGATGATCCACAGTGGGTTAAACCCCTGTGCCGGCAGGACTGAAGACTGACAGGTGGCAGGTTCAAATCCGGGGAGAGCACGGATGAGCTCCTTCTATCAGCTCCAGCTCCTCATGCGGGGACATGAGAGAAGCCTCCCACAAGGATGTTAAAACATCACAACATCTGGGCCTCCCCTGGGCAACGTCCTTCCAGACAGCCAATTCTCTCACACCAGAAGTGACTGCAGTTTCTTAAGTCGCTCCTGACACGACCAAAATCCACAATATCTGCTTGGAACTGGGTTAGCTGAGGCCCCTTCCACAGAGCTGTATACAACCCCACATTATCAGCTTTGAATATCGTAGTGTGGACTCAGCTAACCCAGCTCAAAGCAGATATTGTGGGTTTCTCTGCCTTGATATTCTGAGATGTAGAGCTGTGAAGGGCCCTGAGTTATATGGCAGTGTGGAAGGGCTTTGAGTCCACAAAACCCTATAATCCACTTCAGTGTGGATTTTATACAGCCGTGTGGAGCAAGAGGCCTGAGCTGCATTTTATGGCTCTGCACACTGTGTAGAACAGGCATCCTCAAGCTGTTTGGCCCTTCAACTCCCAGAATTCCTGACAATTGAGCAAGCTCATTAGGGCTTCTGGGAGTTGGAGGCCCAAGCAGCTGGAGGGCCGTAGTTTGAGGATGCCTGGTGTAGAATAAAGCTCCCCCAAACTGCATTGTTTGCCTGTGTGGATCCAGCCTCAGAAGCTGGGTCTGCAGCTGTGGCAGAATGCTGCGAGGCCAATGACAAGCAGACAATGGGAGGCTTCCAGGGGAACGTGAGGGGAATATGGAGTGGAGGGAAAGGAAGGCTGCTGTGAGGAGCAGTGAGGTTCAGTGGGGACTGACTGGGAGCCCTTCCACACAGCTGAAGAAAAACCCACATTATCTGCTTTGAACTGGGTTATATTGCAGTGTGGACTCAGATAACCCAGTTCAAAGCAGATATTGTGGAATGTTCTCCCTTGATATGGCTGTGTGGAAGGGCCCTGAGTTATGGGACTGTATGTGAGGAAGGGCCTTGGGAGCAACTTCGCCTCGAAAGGGTGGGCCCCTTGATCCGAAATGGGCTCATTGTGACCCAGTGACGGTTTATTTTGCTTATTTTGTTTTGTACAGTAGCTGTGTATTTGGGGTGTGTGTTTCTATTGACTCATTTAATCTCACTATTCTTGAAAGGATGAGGCGAGAGAGAGTTTCAAATGGGGGAAAGACGTTGGCCTTGGGGGCGGGGCCACAGCGCGCGAGGGAATCAATGAGGGGCGGGCCTTTTGCCAGATAAGAACGTGACGCGCTCGTTTAAGCCCCGCCCCCTGCGAGGAGCCAGAGGGGCGAGAAAATGCGCCGAGGGAAAGGGGGAGGGGCCTGTGAGGACCTTTTCTTGCTTGATTTGAACGTGACTCGCCCTTCTTAGGCCCCGCCCCTTGATAGGCCCCGCCTCCTCCCTTGAGAAGGAGGTACTGGTGCGTCTGAGGCGAGCCAGCCAGAGCGGCGGAGGCAGCTAGAGGGAAACACAAAGGGGAGGAGCCCTTCCTGCCGGATTAGAACGTGACGTGCCTCACTTAGGCCCGCCCCCTTCCCAGAAAGAGGTGCTGGGGTCCCCAGATGTTTTTGGCCTTCAACTCCCAGAAATCCTAACAGCTGGTAAACTGGCTGGGATTTCTGGGAGTTGTAGGCCAAAAACATCTGGGGGCCCCAGGTTGAGAACCACTGTGCTGGAGGGAAACACAAAGGGGAGAAGCCTTTGAGGCCCTTGTCAGATTAGAACGTGATGCGCCTCAGGCCCCGCCCCTTGCTAGGCCCCGCCCCCTCCCTAAATGCTGGAGGGAAACACAAAGGGGGAGGAGCCTGTGAGGCTCTGCCAGATTAGAACGTGATGCGCCTCGCTTAGGCCCCGCCCCCTCCCCGAAGGAGGTGCAGAGGGAAACACAGAGGGGGAGGAGGCTTGTGCGGCCCTTCCTGCCAGAT